TGCATATAAAAGAAACCTGAAACTACAGGTACTCAAATTTACAATCCAAATTCTCTTCAGCTTCTGCGTTTTCTTCAAATGTTGTGCTAGAGACGAATCTAGCTAAAATATCACTCGTTTGGTCGTCCATCTCGTATCCCATGCCCGAGTCCAACGGAAAGACAAAACCTGACGGTGTGTGCAAGTAATGTTGACCCTTTGTGATTTCCTCACATTGAAGTAAGTCCACATAATCACGGTTCCTACTAAAAATGGAGCTGATGACGATGTTACGGCCGGCCACGGTCGTGCGCTGGGTGGTTGCCATGCTTCATGACTGTAACAGGGCTACACGCAAGTGACTACATGTAGCCACTTGGTTACGAAGAAGGTTTTACACGTTGGTGTGAGATACACCAATGATTACATTTGGTAGACTATTCGTCTGCATGTATTTAGGGCATTCATCGGTTAAAAGTCATTATCTTCAACCAATTGGAATTGTAGGATTCTGTCAACCATTCGTTGTCAAATACCTTTCATTTAAAATATTAGATTAGAAGAAAATCCCAAACAAAACAAATAAACAGCCCTCAATTTTACTGGAAATTGCCATTGCTTTCCTGTTTAGGTGAATCTATACTTTCGTACGAAAGTAGAGCTAATCTAAGTGACGCGCATCTAACGCTTCCTCATACACGTGCGCAAACGTGTAATTCGAAGTAGTTTGGGCTTAAAGTAGGCCCATTACACCTGTTAGCTCTTTGTAGTCCTTACAACGACCGACTAACAAACGAGTTCGTATGGAATACGAAGACGGGCGATGAACCAACCCATGGACAGTAATCCGTCTATGCGTAGCCCACATGCTTCTGGCACGCACATTGTGCGTGCAGACTGTCCCCATTTGGCGGATCCAGAGTGAGAAGCTCTCCAAAGACTTCAGCAGTCATTGGAGGGGCAGTCGTAGCGACAGTGCTACGTACGCTGTCGCCGACAGATCAGCACGGTGTTGCTCTGGGATTCATCGAAAGCGAGCAGCGCTATGCTCCTGCTGCTACGAAAGTGTCGTCCGGGACGATACCGCGCATGCAGTCATTGAAACAGCACATGAGTAATTACGTGGGGAAAGATGGTGAGCCTTTTCTCCGATGGCTTGTCGAACTCGACACTGCCATAGCGGCTCGTCATATCACTGGCGAACTGTCGAAGGTTTAGTTCGCCATGTCATACCTTGGCGGACGAGCGAGGAGCTGGGCGTATGACCGCCGGCTCACACATACGTGCTTTAGCACGTATCCGGTATTCAAGTCGGAGCTCAGACAAACGTTTGACCCCCTCAGAATGAGTTCCGGTTGCGAGCAGCGTTTCCTGACCCGCAGCAAGGTAATCTTGACGCTCATGTTTACGCCCAACGTGCGCAGTACTTGGTCTCGAACATCGTGACTAATCCGATCGACGAGGCGACAAAAGAAGGGCTTGAAGGATGGGTTGGTTAATACCTATCTTGTCCGGGAGTACCCAAGTAGTCTCGAAGCTGCGATTGCTCTTGCGATGCAAGAGGCGTTTAGCTTGAAGCAGGCTAAGCTGCATACGAACGCGCCGGGGCCAGCACGTCCGATGATGAGAGCGGGAGGTCCAGAGCCTATGGACCTCTCGAATTCTTCTGCCGTAGGGCGCCAACAGCTACATGGGGGACAAGTGCGGTGTTTCCGACATGGGTACACCGGGCGTAGGGGGGGGGGTGAGGGGGTCTGGGGGATCTTATCGTCCTGGATCTGGATGATAAGTTTGACTTGGTATTGGGCATGCCGTGGCTTGCACGGCATGATCCAGTGATCAACTGGGAGAAGTGTACACTTGGACACATCGGACGCAACGCGACAAAGTGCAATGGCCCTGTCAGTGTCGCGCATGCACCACGAGGTGCATCCGACCCCACCGTTGATGCTTGATGCAGCACCTTATGATGCAGCTTCCGGTTCCCATTCACAAGTCGAAACGACTGAAGCAGTCGTTGGGTGTGTCTCAAATCTGATTTCCGATTTGAGACACGCTCATACTTCGATGACTGTATCAACTCGGGGAGCTGATCGATCAAGTATGAAGGAGCTTCGTCGCAGGCAATTCCTGTGACAGTGGTGCGTCAGTCCCGGGAACGGACGCATCAGATATGCAAGGGACGCCAGCTACAGACAAAAGCTGTGATGTCGGCGTGTCAGCTCCGGGAGTTGATATGGTCGTGATTGGTTCAAAAATCACGAAAAGCTCCGCCGAAAGGCGTCGAGGTAACAAGGACGTGTCGACTCCGGGAGTCGACTCAAGCTCAATGTCAGCATCGATAGGGGACCCTGCGGAAATGCGTCGAGGTGATGACGGCGTGTCCGCTCTGGGGGCTGAAGACGCGGCAAGCCGTGTTTGCGGTTGCAAACGTCCACCACTGGAAACGATTGCGTGCTTGCGTGCAGCCGGGCTAGACGACAAAGCGGATGTAATCAAGCCGGGCTTGATCATTTACGTCCGCAGAAAGAATCCGCCGACGGTTACAACGAAAACTCCGTCCAAGGCTGGGCGTGGACGAGAAACATGTGAAACCGGGTTTCACAAGAACAAAAGACGGCGCAAGCGACGAAAGATGCGCAAGTATTGGTCCGGGACCGAGGCGATACGAGCGATGTCTGCCGGGCAGACATCGGAGTTGACGTCGCTTCCAGGCATGAGCTGGATGCGCTTCGCGAAGGAACTGTACGATGGATGCACCAAACCCATATGCGATCTCAAGCAGATATTAAAAGGAAAAAAGCAAGGCGGAGGAGTTGAGACAACTTCGCGCAGTGAATACCACCGAGAGTAAGGACACTATCAGAGCGAAGACGATGAAGCAGCGCTTCGAGGAGCAGAGCAGAGATTCATTGAAGTCAATTCCCTTCTACGATGTTCTGCAGGAGCACACGGATGTGCTCCCAGATGAGATTCCTGCGGAACTTCTGCAGGACAAGGGCATACAGCACAAGATCGACTTAGTGCCAAGTACGAAGTACTGTGTGATGCGGCAGTGACCCCTGCTGCGAGATCAAATAAAGGCAATCGACGACTTCTTTGAAAATCGTCGTAAAGCTTTGATCAAGTGCGGGAGTCAAAGTCCCCGCACAGTGCACCAACGTTGTGTGTCAATATCCCACAGGGCGGGTGCTGCATCGTTCATCCTTACACAAAATGCCTTCTGAATCTTCTTCTTCCATTTATGGAGAGCAGCTCCGGCCTCATGAGGACGTCAATCTTGGAGCGACGTCGTCGATGGGTACGTCTCGTTCTCGAAGCCCAGTGACAATAGTAGCGAGACTGAATCCTCGGTAACTTTGGCTAGTCAAAATCAAGTTGATTTGGTATTGAAGTTCTTGTGCAAGAGCTGACCAGTCCGCCTGTCGCTTGGGGATGGTCTTGAACAGCTGCATCCAATCAGCATTCTGCATCAGCGCCTGTACTCGGTCGATAACGTGCTTGGTGGCTGGCGTATCACCGTTGATAGGTGGGCGAAAATGCTGAACGCTTTTCACTCGCCACAAAGGGTTAGAACACTCGGTTCTATCGTCATATTCCTCATAGACCGGTTCTTGTCTCGCAACGTCGTCCAGCTCGTCGGCAAGGTTTCCTGAAAGGGAGCTGGTCGCCCCGCTCAACCCCGATAAAGGCGTGGCCGTACCCGATGTCGTTGCGCCTGGCTCTGGCGCCGGCGTCTTGGCTTCGTAATCGGCGTAATCGTGGGCGTCAGGACCGATGTCCGCCTCATCCTCGAAGCGTGCAGCCGTCACGTCCGGACTTGAACTCTCGTTGCGTGTTCCGCCAGGCTTGGCAGGAGTAGCTGGTACCGTCGACTGTCCTTTCGCCATTTTCTTATTTTTTTGTTCTTGTCCTCTCTTCTCCTCTTGGTAGCTCGTAAGCTGGAAGGCCATACAAACAGTTCACAATGGTCACACTCTGCTCCCGGGTCGCAACACCAGTTGTGGTGTTGGTAATCCCACGTGAACACTAGCTACAAATGTAGTTAGGAAGCTCCCACAGCAATGCGTCCGCTAGAATAGCAAACGATCGTTCGGGCGGACCCGAAGACCCCAGTTCTGCCCTTGCGCCGGGACAGACGGGACCTTGTAAACTACTTATATAGGCCAACCAGTAAAACTTAGAACACGCTACTAGCACGTGCAAAGCTAATAGAAGTTATGGAATTTCGTGGTCCCAACAGCGGAAGGGTACCCGGTACGTGTAAGCCTTTTACGAGGGCACAGAGTGTTCAGCACTCCGTTAAAAGAATAAAAGGGATGCAATACAAGCACCCCCAGTCGTGCAAATAGGCAACAGTAATTGGCCGATTCCGGACGGAATCCGGAATGGTGCCCAAACGATTTGATTGAAATTGAAGCAATCAAATCGATTCAAGCTACGAGGATTATTCATTCCGGACAGACCAACCAATTCACATAATTTGTGGTTGGCAGAAGATTGATAAAAAGAGCGACCTGGAGCATAAATTAAATTTTATTTTGATGGCGCGGTTAAGTGGGATAGGTCGACGGCATCAGTGCGTAATCTAGTGGACAGCTGGTGAGCGAGTGGGGAGCGGTCGTGGAGGCGGCGGCGACGGTGGCACTGGTGGTCGGCGAGCGAGCATGAAGGACGAGCGACACGACGGCGGTGAGCGAGTGTGGAGCAGCAGCGGGTGATATCGAACCATCGCGATTCGGGTGGGTATATGGGAGGGCGAGATGCTGTTGATATCCATGGCAAAAGTGTACGTGTTCGGCGCGCGCTCTACAGCGTGGCGGTGTAGTGTGGGCGACGGTTCGATGTGAATTCGTGGTGGATCTCTTGCAAGTTGGTAGAGTTGGATTGGTGCGGTGTTAGTACGTGCGCGATCTGTCCACCGTGACCAGTTACCATCCCGAGAGCAGGAACTAGTACTTCGCGGAGGTGAGCCTGGAGCACGGGTGCTGGACAACGGGGACCTCGAGTTCCTCGAAGACATGATCGTGGTGGTGGATGGCCAGACCCGAGCAACCTGGCCAATCCGCTCTAAGTCAGGCGCTAACATCCTGCCGGAGAGCATCGACCAGTGCAAGGGCTACAGCGCATTCGCGGTTCTGCTGGACTCGCTGAACGTGGACCAGCCGGACGGAGGTGATGGATCTGATCTCGGCTCTAGCGTTAGTGCAGGAGGTGTGTGTAGTACCTGGTTCTTGTCCCTCCCTGTTACGTGCTGTCAGATGCTGGTATGCTTGTGGGTTCGGCCGAGAGCCATCTGAAGGATTACCTGAACAGCAACGCAGACAAGATGTCGCGCTCCCTCGCCGTGTCCAAGGTCGTCGTGAATGCTAAGGAGATCGAGTTCGACAGTTTGGCCAAGGACGGCGCCATATCCATCTACGCCACACGCCAAGCACGCCCGCGTACTCTCTGGAGACGCCCAGTCCAGCAACTGTGTACGTGGGCACGATCAAGCAGCTAGCACCATCGCACAGGCGCTTAACGTCACGGGCCCGTTTACCACGTACTAACACCACACCCAGGCAATGGCCCGGGCTAACGAAGGGACTTATCCTACAATAAGCCGTTACGTAAACCTCCCGATAGTAATGGTCCAATACACACACAGTCTCTTGGCTTTGCCGGATGAACCCTCGCTACAGAGCTTCGAGTACACCGACAGGCATATAACACTCAAACAAGCTTGACCAGACGCTTAACTTGAAGCCGGACGTCGATCTGTGTGCTTGAGTGGAAATTCTGTTCTGTATTTATGTTTGCCCTATCGGGCCTTTTCCTAATCAAGTGAACTATGAATCCGTTATGAATCTTCTTGCACATCAAGCGTCGTCTGCACCGTCGCATGAGCGTCTTTAACGGCTCGCGCCCTGTCCCAGACGGTGAACATGCCTTCAAAGGGTCGCGGAGACTTCCGCGAACTCATCCCTACCGCCACCGAGGGTTCGTACCGTAGATGGTCAGTTCTTGGCCGCTGAATGCGAATCCGGCCAGTCCACTAGTAGTAATTAGGACAGCCGGGATTGAGTGACATCTGGACCGTATTCAATATCTGCTGAGTGTTTGGTAGTGACACCGTCGAGTCTCTTGCACCTTGGAGTCACCGTACATCAGGTGACCGAGTGTTCGTCGCTTGAGCATCTTCGACGGGGCCGCATCATAGTTGACGAGTGATTGTCCGCAACTCTGGAGAAATCACTACAGCCCAATACCGTCCAGTATGCGACTCCATCCGGTCATTTTACGTTGCGAGGCTAAAGTCTTAAGAGCATACGAGCCATCTAGCCTTGATGAGCTCGAGGACGACCAAAGCAGCTGAGCCAGCTGCAGCGACATGCGCCTTCTGTAGGCGCAAACTCCTGTTGCAGGTCTGCCGAGCTCCGCGCTCTGATATGCTTAGAACGACGACACGATCGAGCAGAGCCCGAGAGTCATGACCAACCTGGGGTGACCAAACGCACGATTCGACACGTTGGATTGTCGAGCCGATAGTGGACTATAAATCCCGAAGATAAGCCGAGATCAGGCTCGTTTTTCGTATTCGTTGGAGAGGAGTTCTTCCCCATCGAGATACATGGGAGCCACGGGACGTCCTGATGAAGGACCTTCTCGAAATGGTGAGTGCATACGAGGCCCAGAACCGAGTGCAGACATAATGCCTGCACTCGCGCTGCGAGCCACCAGCACGGGGTGCATCACGGTGCTCAAGTTGAGCACGGAGCTCTCGGAGTAGAGCGGGAACACAGACGGAAGTGTACCCGAGACGATCGTGTTCAGCAGCAGTGCGGACACGCAGTTTCAGTTGGAACTGCTCAAGGAATTCCATCCTCCATAGCGTCATGATGGCGGCGATCGATAAGATGATGCGTCGCAAAAGGCTCCAAGCGCTGGCGTGCCGCGACAACTCGCTCGCGGTAGCCTCTCGCAATTTTGTTGAAGTTCACAACAAATGCGCTCCGAAATTGGTAAAGTGCCACCTACCCGGGCATTTTGACGGCCTCGGCGTCATCATTGATGGTGCGGTACACGTACAGGCCTATCGGGATCGGTGGTGAAGTCGCGCCGAGCCTGTCAGCGATTTAGATGCATCCAAGGAGCGCGTACTACACCTGCCGTACGCGGAGTAGAAGGCGGCATCGACACTGGTGGCAGCGCCTCTTTTTCATTACGCGGACGCTTCGATCCTGAAGTGTCCGTAACACCGTCCCGAGCTCGCCGCGACCCAACCGGGGGATCAGGCTTTAATTCAGTCGACTTAAAGGCGACAGCTGAAGGCGAGGAGTCCTCGTCTTCCATGGTAACGTCCTCAATGCCAGGCAAATATTCAATGGGTATGTCTCCGTCAGTTTACAAAACGGACGATCTTTCCATGACGACTGACGGCCTGTCAGTCGTAGCGCGCGCACTTGTGCTTTGCAGAGTGTGGTTTTGAGCGACAGAGAGTTTGTTTTCTTTTGCGGGCGTGTTCGCTTGCGCGGACACTGAAGTAGTGGTGGTCCTGCAATGCAGGCCCGGATGTAACAGCGTCTGCCGGGCAAACGCTTCCAAGGACATCTTCCCAGGCGAGCTCATTGCGAAATGAGCTCAGGGTTGTTTTCGACGGTCTCGTCAATACTTTGAATGATATGTTAAGACTAGTGAGTCTTAGCGTAACGGGGGCGTAATGTAGCGGGGTTACCCGCAAGTGGATTCATGTAGCCACTCGGGTACGAATAAGGTTTTACACGTTGGTGTGAGATACACCAATGATTTAGTATGACAGACTATCGGTCTGCATGCATTTAGGGCATTCATTGGTTGAAAGTCAATATCTTCAACCAATAAGAATTGTAGGATTCTGTCAACTATTCGTTGGCAAATACCTTTCATCAGAATATTAGATTAGGAGGAAAACCGAAACAAACAAATAAGCAGTTTTCAGTTTTTACCGGAAATTGGATTTGCTTTCCAATTTAAGTAAATCTATACTTTCGGACAAAAATATAGTTAATCTAAGTGAAACACAACTTACGCTTCCCTCATACACGTGCGCAAATGTGGTGAAGGTGCTTTCTCAGAAATAAGAGAATGGGCCTGACGCGGGGTCACTATCCCGAATCAGTGACCATTTCAAGTGATTAGAGAGGATTTGGGTTGTCTGGCACGGATGCAAGTTGCCTGTGGTGGATTAGCCATGACGAGCAACACCCCGTATGGAATGACGATGGATCTGGTATGAGCGATGTACGAGAAGGCAAGATCCACCAAGACTTATCTCGGATCCACCCTTACCTGGATTCACCTAGATGGATATGGGATATACTATACAAGAGTGGATCGAGTGTGGATCCTATGAAGGAATGATGGTAGGTGCCCTCTGAAGGTGGATCTAGTAGCCACGGCTAACAAGGAGTCAGGATCCACCGCGAGGTACCCCGGATCTCATACTTCCGAGTTCGGATCCATGGAGGGAGGATCCCGCCTTGAGGGACCTGGATCCAGGGTATAGGGATGATGGATGCAGTGGATCTCGGACTTTCGTGGGACAATGGAGATCACAGACGGTTGCGAGATGAGGTTGGATGATTGGAGAGCTCAGATCCACGACGAGTGTACACTTACAGTGAAGTGGATCCAAGCGACCTGGATCCGGATGAGTGTACCCATAATAGGGTGACCATAATGATTACGCCATGGATCCAATGGATCTGAAGATAATACAGCTGGGATGATGGGTCAAGGGAAGAAGGGACATGCAGCCGAGCCTGGTAAGGGATTAAACAAGTAAAAGACATAGAAAGTAGAAATCCAGGCAGGTATAGGCTTAAGTATCAATACAGACCCCAATTTGCACAGTAACACGCAAGTGCCTTCCTGCCCTCAAGAACCGGAACTACATTGGCCGTACGAGCTCAAGGAAGGTTGGGAATTGCGAATCTAGTGTTGGTAGTGATAACTAAATAATACATTGGCCAGATCCTACAACCTAGTGAGCTTTTCCTTTACACGTGCAGATCCGACATGTTAACCGAATTTACTACTTGGTCGGTTACACCCTAGGGGCTCTCAACTCTCACGATCCCGTCGCAGGAGGCGGCAAGTACAACGCAAAGGAAAACGCAAAGGTAAGGGAACACACCCGCAAGGCAACCCTACGGCCAGATCTACGATCTAGGCCCTGGATCCATAAGCTCGAATATTCGCTTAGGATTCGGAACCCATCCACGGACGCAGAGTGAAGATTTTCACTGCTGCTCCACCCCATCCCCACGTCTCGCCAAGACACTCAAGCTTCACCACTTGAACTCTTCGGAAGTTACCGAGAGAGCAAGATCCCGCCCTACCGACGGGTACACAAGGTGAGGAAAGTTCAGCAGAACACGAATCATCGGGGGGCCCCCTCCGTTAGTCGGTGTCTGGGCGCAGTTGGTAAGTTGATTCTGGCAATCTCGCAGATTTTGCTGATCCCGCTACACCACAATGGTGCGCGTGCCCGGATCTTTTGGTGACTCGGGATTTCACCGTGAGTCCCAAGAAGATGCTCAAGTGAAGATTGAGCCAGGGGAAGAGGCGTCGTCGGAGGTCGGATCGACGATGACGCTGCTGAATGAAACAAGATCCGGGGATCGATGGAGTTTTGGGAGGAACGCTGTCGACGGAAGAGAGGTGGATCCGGATCCGGATCTAGAAGAAAAACCTCTCCATCCTCCCCAGGTCCCCTCGGGGACCCCTGCGGATCTTGACGCAAGTCAAGATCCGCTAACAAAACAAGGGAAAGTGAAGGCGAAACGGTATGCATTTGCAGATTCACCGGTTAAGCCAACACTGTACCTAAACCCAACCCCGCTAGTCGAAGAAACGAGAAAGAAGACGAAAACGAGTACGACTACGAGGAAGAAGATGCAAGCTCCAGAGTCGGAAGAAGACCCTTAATGGATCCAGGTCAAGCTGGTCCGACAAGGATCTCGAGTTTGTG